GGCGGGACAGTTCTCACCATTTTCAGTAACGTGGTGAGGGGGTAAAAATAGCAAGTGTGGATTAGACTTCAGAATGCTTGGTGGTATCTCTCATTCCAAACTTCATCTGTAATAATAGAGATCTACTATTTATGTAGAGGTTCTTCAAAGCCAACCATAATACGAGCAAACCATTCCAAGGAACAATGGTAACTTAAAAGCAGACCTCCCTTGAGCTGCTCATGTTTCTCTGTGAGTCGACTATTTGATTCCAATAGCACTAAAATCTGGGAAGATTTTAAAATGCAAGCTGGAAATAAAGACTTAAGAATATTTAAAATGGAAACAACTGCCTGGTGTAATCAGAATTCCAATCTAAGTTTACTCGAACTTGTGGATGCCAGCGACAGACACCATCTGCCATTAGCTCCTGAGGTCTGAGCCATGCTTTGAAGGCCAAATGCAGCAGGATCTTTTGTTTGCCTACAAGGGAAGAACATTAAGTCCTTAGCAGAATGGAGTGAGCGGAGCTGGAGGAAGAAATGTTGAAGCCAAGTGCAGCGATTGCTCAGGCTGTTAAAATTTGGTAAAGAGCAATCTCCCATCACTGCCCATATCTTATTAAAGCAGGAAGAAAGCTTCTCCTCCACCGACCCCAGGTCCCTGGGCCTCCTGCAAGGTCGGGCTTACGAGTCATGAACGGAAGAGCTAAAATGGTGTTTGCATTGCATGACAACTCAAAACGTAAGCTGTAGATTGCTCAAGTCCTTTCAACTTCATGTCATTTGGTGCTCAGGGACATCCTGGAAGATGGGTAGAGTGGCTTTTGGTACTATCACCAAAGGCCTGATGACATTCAATGCCAGCAACTGGCCCAGCCAGGTCAGGGTGTCCTGGGCTTCTGCATGTAGGTACTGTGTACCTCTCTCCAGGAAACAGACTCCATACATTCAGGAAAAGGCTCTTCATTTATCCCCCTCTTTCTAGCATAACATATCACCATGAGCAGAGTGACTGGCCTGTGCATACCCAGTCACTAGAGTAAATCAGCAAATGAAGACCTGAATGTGTCAGAGCATGTAGCATCATCAATATCCCTGGATGTCAAGAATGAGAGAGGGAGATCATTTCCCATGATAGCGTGTATTTTTTTTCTGAAATATTTGCCCTGGAGAGAGACTTTACCTAGAGGTACACTTAAAAAACCTTAACTCCATAAGTATCTACAGTTACATGTCCTCATTCAATTTTCAACTGTGGTACCTTTGTTAAGCTTTAGCGATGGATGAGGGGTGAACCCCAGCTGTCTGCATTGTGAACGGTCTATAACACTTAAATGAAGTAAACTAGAGAAATGATGTATTGGACAGTTACAGCAAAGGGGAAGGGTGGTGATGTGGCTTCGTTAGCAGTGGGTTTTAAAGACTTTTGTGATGGGACTTTCTTGTTGATGCTTCCTACAGTAATCTATTTGGTTATAAAGAGCTGAGTGGAAGACAGCTATTTCGTCAATTTCTCTGTCACAAAGCTACTCACATACTGATTTCTAAGCACCCCTGTCAGCCTCCATGGATGGCAACTTATGTGCTCAAGGAAGACACTTTATAAACCATGGTGTTAAGTATGTATTTTTATGTGTAATGTTATTAAAAAAAGTTCTGGGCCTGTCAAATAATGCCAGACTTTCCACTTCCAGACTGTGATGGTGCCTTTCTCAGGGGCAAAGCATACCTCTGAACATCAGAATCCCTAGCTCCTGGATCTACAGCTCTTGCCTTCTTGTTCATTCTTTCTCATTCTCCCACACAGACAGACACAGGCATGGGCACATGGCTACATAACCATCATCGAATCTCGATCTCCTTAACTGAGCTAAAGGTGTTCGACCGTGAAATGTCCTGCACTCGGTAGGATGAGAAGAGCACAGGTGGATGATGCATACAGCGCTCCTTGGTACCCTTCTCCCTTGCAAGCACAGCTCTGAAAAGTCACTTCAAATCTCAGCTGTGCCCTGAGCTACACTCTTAGCTCTGATGTCCACCAACTTCTTTATCTTTCTCCTTATTTTCTCTCATCTTCTGCTAGCTAGGATTGAGACTTCCTACCTTTATGGGTTAAGGGGATGGAGTAGGATCATTTATGACGGGCACACTGACCAGTGGAAAGCTATTGTTTTTGCTTTTTAAATTGAACTTATTTTGTTTTCATACAGGCATACGTACATTTACGTTGAGCATACACTTCCCCACCCCCAACCCTCTCTCTGATCATCCCTTCCCACTCCTGTTTGTCCCTGCTTGTTTCTGGGGACAATTTCACCTCTGCTGTCATTTTATAGATACATACTATATATACATACATGGCTTTATGTGACTATATAAAATCTAGGGCTCCAAAATGAGAGAACATATTTGTCTCTCTTTCTGTGACTGGCTTAATTTGCTTAACATGATTATCTACAGTTGTGTCCACTTTCTTGTAAATGACAGAACTTCACTTTTCTTGATGGCTAAAAAACATTTCACTGCATATAATTTGCCACACTTTCCTCGTCCACCTCTCTCACTGGTTCTGTTACGTGACAATTGTGAAAAATGTAGCAAAAAAAAATACTGATGTGCAACCATCTCTGTGTTATGTTGACTTAGAATCTGTGGATAAAGACCCAGAATTGGTAGAGCTGGGTCACAAGCCAAATCTCGTTTAGTTTTTTGAGAACCTGCCTTGTTGATTTTCAAAGAGTGGACCAGTTTACCTTCCCATCAGTAGTGTGTAAGTGTTCCCTTTTGTCTACATCCCCACCAGCATTTAATGTTGCATCCTTTCCTTTTTCATTCTTTCTATTTTTATTTTGTATTATTAAAAACGTTCTTTTCTCTCCTTCTTCCCTTAGTCTGAATTTCTCCCCATCAATTATCTTTGGATAAACTGCCCTTGAAACAGAATTAACATTTACCTCAAGAAGAAAGAGGACTTATTTTGAATGAGCTAAGTCACCGGGGTGAGTGGGGGGAGACCACTCTATTAAAAGTCCTTGGGGAAGTGAATTATTTATTGATTCAGTTTGTGGTCTAAAGTTGAGGTATGTGTTGGGGAAGAAAGGAAGCATTGTGGCTTGGGATACTTAAAAGAGGAAATGATACATAATTCTTATCTTAGAAATATGATGATACAGAGAACTAAATTTTGCAACTTAATTGTGTGTGTGTGGGGGAGGAGAATAAGAGAGTTTGGAGTTAAGCAAACAGTTCTGATGTTTGACATTTACTTAAAGTCACCATTACAGGTATGTATACACACACACATATATAAACAGATAATGCTGCTGTGGATGATTGATTGATAAATAAAACACTGATTGGCCAGTAGCCAGGCAGGAAGTATAGGCGGGACTAGCAGAGAGGAGAATTGAGAGGAAGGCGGAGAGGAAGAGATGCCAGCCTGCCATCCAGGGAACATGATGTAAAGGTAGCAGGTAAAGCCATGGAACATGTGGCAACATATAGATTAACAGAAATGGACTGAGTGTAAAAGTAAGAACTAGACAATGGTGGGCCTGAGCTAATGGCCAAGCAGTTTAAATAATATAAGCATCTGTATGTTTATTTTATAAGTGGGCTACGGGACTGCTGGGGCTTGGTGGGGCCCGGAGAGAAAAACTCTAGCTACATAATGCTAACATGTATAAGAGGCTGCTCTTAAGTGTTCTCCTTTGTTATTTTTCAGAACTTTATCATTTATTAAGTACAGGCCATGACCCAGACAGTCATACTCCTAGCTTTTTTTGCAGACTAAGATGCAGCCATGGAAGTGAACCTGAAAGAGTATAGAGAGGCTGAAAGAGAAGTCTATATATAGAATGAATCTATTCTCTAAATGACAAAAGACTTGCTATATAAATTAGTATTTGGATTCCTTACCACAGCCAACTGGTTATATTCAACTTTTTCTAGCAGTAAGAACAATGGTGTTCTTTAAACTATAACACCATCAAAAAAGAAATAGATAAAGCTCCAGCGTGGAAAATTGGGGAATACTATCCTCTTGAAGAAATGATCAATGTCGTGCAATTTGGTTATGACAGAACATTCCACCTCCCATGGTGGATCGTGCGGTGCACCAGTGATTCAAATTACTCCTCAAAATTGGATCCCGACTTCAGGGTTTGTAAAGGACGCGTTTTCAAAAGAGGTCATTGCCGAAGCAATTCCTTTAATCAACAGTCAGAGGATTTACCCAACTGATGGTGCCAAGCATCCTTCCCAGGGACCCACGATGGTGCAGATCTTCCAGCACTCAACAGGGTAAGAGGATCAAATGAATTTGTAAATGCAGATTTTTGGTTTATGCCATTCTTTTTCATCTTCTGGAAAGTGATCACTAGGACTTAATCAAGGTTCCCTTGTGTATCATTAACTAATTTTATCTTTCGCCTTAAAGATTTTTTTTTTTTTCAAATAGTGAGTTTAGAGGAGCCCATTCTTAAGTCCTCTGGATTTCATGTTTTCTCTGCTGAAGCCTTGAGGGAAGCTAAATTTAAAAGTAGGGAAACGGTAATTAAAAGTGATTAGGACAAGAAGTTTTGGTGCTATGCAATGTGGACTCAATTCTCCCAGTCACAAGCCGAAGCAAGCAGCAGTTTTGCTTTTCATTATAGCTTTACATGCTATTTTAATAAACATGAACCAGTATTCAAACTTTTAATACCCTGCTGTTTAACTGTTTCCAGAGAGCCATCCAGCTCTTTTTAAAAAGCCCTTGTTTTAAAATTTTAATTTGTTTGGCTCAGTCTCACCTTAGAAAGTTGTAGCCTCATGGTAAACTCTTTTATAAGTTGATTTCCAGAATCGTAGCAATCCCCCCCACTCCCCACCTCCTAAGTGTTTCCTCATGCGCCAAAGCCGTTGGTGCTGACAGCTCCCCCTGCCTTGTTTTATCTGGTTCCCACAGCAAGTATGAGGGACAAATGCAGGAATGTGTTCAGCATTGACTAGATGCATCCAGACAGCAGTGGTACTTACAGCTCTTCTAGGAAGCGGAGGCTGTGTAGGAGACTGGGGGGCAGCTGACTGATGTTGTTCATGCTGAGGTCCCTGGAGGGGGGAAGACAGACAGCATGTGAGGAGCGGGGTACGCCACCGCAAGGAAATCCAGCTGTTCGGTTCACACATCTCCAAGCAAGACAGTAAAATGAACTCATTCCTCTGCTTGACAAATGAATGGTCATTTTTCCATCTTAAATACATAACCCGCCAACGTCAGGGGCTCCTTCTCAAATTAAACACTCTATGAGGAGATTTCATGGGATTCAAGGTTACTGAGCCCATTCATGGGCTTGGTTGCCATTCTTCATGTTTTAAAATGATGTCGAGTAGGACAGAAAAGGAAGCAGACGTAACTCAACGTTGTGCCTCGCTTTCCACGGTGTGACAAAGAGAAATGTCTTCACCTGGCAACCCTAGAAGGCCAGTTTCTCGGGGGATTTTAAGCACCTTGGAAAAACAAATGTTTTGATCCAAAGAAACTTAAAACAAAACGAGACAAAAAGCCTCTTCCCTCTCCGAACTTGCTCCTTTTGCAGCTTCTCAGATTGCATTTAATAAGTGAAATGAACCGTAAAACGAGGGTGTAAGGTGATCCCGCTCTGTCTCACACTTCCTGCTGGGCCTGCACAGTAGTTCCTGGCACAGGAAACAGCCAGCCACTTTGGGCGGAACTCAATCCATTTTTGTTTCAAGTGAAAGTCCGTGTAATTAGATTTTATTCTGGTTTTTTTAAATTTTTTAAAAAATTTTCTCTATTTCTTTACTGTCTTGCATGGTGTACAGCATCACTGGTTTTTCTATCTGTATCTCAGAAGCCCAAAGACTGACAGCTGGACAGGCTTTAGCCGGGACCAACTCACTTCATCTAGTTGTCGCAGGTTTGGGTAGGAAGTGACCTGTTGCCCTATCCTGAGAACAAATGCTGTTAGAACCTCAGATCTGGATTCCATACCTAAAGCTCATCTTCAGACTAAGTTTCTTCACAATCTGAATTATTCCTGTGGTTAAAGTGCTCACATCCATTGCAAATGCTCAGCTGAGTAGATATTGATCATGTAGTTGTCTGGTCAAATGTTAGCGTTAACTCGGTGATGCTATGAAGTAAAGAGTTATCTTAAAATTAACCAACACGGGGTTCCGGAGATAGCTCGGTGGATAAAGCATTGGTCATGCAAGTATGAAGACCAGAGTTCAGAACCCCAGTCCCCAAGTAGAAGCCAGGCAGGTATGGCAGCCATTTCTAATCCCAGAACTCTGGAGGCAGAAAGACAAGGGATACCGGGGGTAGGCAGACTAGCTAGACAAGCTGGACTTGGTGATCTCAGGATTTGCCAATATACCCTGCCTTGGTATAGTGAAGAGTGATTGAGGAAGATACCCAGTGTCATCCCTTGGACCTCCATATATATGAGCACACATATGCCCCCACATGTAAATATGCTTACACATGCATGCAACAGCACACACACCTATACAAACAAAAAAAAAGGCATAAATATGTTCAAGGAAGACAAAATGTCTTGCTAATTGTTTGAGTATGGTAACTTTGGAACTACTGTTAACCCTGACCTCTATTAGTGTATAACAACATAGCCAAATACATGCTATATTCTTACTTTACAACTAAACATGGCAAAAAGGTAGAGTAAAATATGTCTGTATTTTTTAAAATTGGAATTTCTCAGCTGGGTGGTGGTGGCGCATGCCTTTAATCCCAGCACTTGGGAGGCAGAGGCAGGCGGATGTCTGTGAGTTCGAGGCTAGCCTGGGCTACAGAGTGAGTTCCAGGAAAGGCGCAAAGCTACACAGAGAAACCCTGTCTTGAAAAACCAAAAAACAAACAAACAAAAAAAAAACCAAACAAACAAATAAATAAATAAATAAAAATAAAAATAAAATAAAAAATTGGAATTTCTCTGAAATTGTCTAGATAGCCAAAATTAATGAGTTTCATTTTGTATGTGTGAGTCTTTACCAAATAGCAATGTGTTAAACAGATCAATGTGGTTCCTGAATGCCTCACAGTGACCCTATAATCTCTGAAAAGGATTGACAATCCCAGACATAGTCATAGCCTTTGTGTGTGTGTGTGTGTGTGTGTGTGTGTGTGTGTGTGTGTGTGTGTGTGTGTGTGATTAGCTGCTTTATGCCCTTGCTACCATGGAAACAACATCTCTGCCATCATGGATTGTACCCTCAAACTGTGACCCAAAACAATTCCTTCCTTCCTTCAATTACTTTTATCAGTTATTTTCTCGCAGCAACAAGAGAAGTAAATAACACACTAATGTCATAGAATTTTTTTTCTAAGTGTTCCTGTGACTTCCACATCTTGCCCTTGAAAATTCATTTTTCTCTTACAGCTCTATTTTTTTTTTCATTTGACAAATCACAATTGGCCACTAACAGTGGTGAGGCTTTATTCAAAGAATACATTGAAAAATAAACTAAACCGACCACCAGCTCTTCCATGTCCCATCATCTCTACTGCTAGGATCCACCCAGTGTTCATTTTACTCTTAAACCCACTTCTGAGTCCGGCTCTCCTTAGTCTCGGCTGCTGTGGGTCAGGTCCTTCTCACACTGATCACTGTCTTTCTATCTGTACTTTCTTGTTCCCCCATTCTAGGCCATCCTCTATACTATGGCCTCAGTAGTCCACTGGGGTCACCACTCCACCCAGATCCACTGCTAGCCAGGCCCTCCCCCCAAATCTTTCTCTCAAATGGATATCTTGGAAAAGAGACCTCCCCCCTCCTGATGACGAGAGAAGAATTATAGAAAAATACTTTCTGGATTTCCAGGTAAGATGGAGGAGAGGGAGTTGCCTTTGAGTGACCCAGTGAAGGTAAACAGAGTGAGGAAAAGTAGAGTCCAGTGCCAAAAAGAGAAAGAAAGGAAGATCTCTGGAAACTTACAAATGTGACAGGATACCCACCAAGGTCAGAGAAAACCAGGGCGGACAATGGGGGGAAAGTCTAAGCTGAGCACAGCTCCAGCTGGTTAGCACCCTGGTGGGCTAAGTGGGTGCAGAAGACTCCCCACAAGTGGAACTATGGATCGAGCCCTTAAAAACAGAATGTGTAACTAAGAAGTTCCCCACACCAAGTTAGAAGAAATGTCCAACTCAATAGATACACAAATTAAATCACAGAAACACAAGAAATATGAAAACCAAGGTATCTTATTTTATTTTCCTGTTGTTGTGATGAAGTGTTCTGACAAAAACAACTTGAGGGGTGTATTGGGTATTGATTAGATTTTTTTTTTTTATTTGTCAACCTAACATAACCTAGAGTCACCTGGGAAGAGGGAATCTCATCTAGGCCCTCTGCATAAGGAGACAGACGTGTAGCTTGGTCTGTTTGGGGGGCCCCTGGCAGTGGGATCAGGATCTGTCCCTGGTGCATGAGTTGGCTTTTTGGAGCCCATTACTTATAGTGGGACAGCTTGCTTAGCCTTGATGCAGTGGGGAGGGGCTTGGTCCTGCCTCAACTGAATGTACCAGGCTTTGCTGGGAGGCCTTACCCTTTCAGAGGAAGGGATGGGGGGAGGTTAGGGAGTGGAAGACTGGGGCGGGGGAACAGGAGGAGGGATGAGAGGGGGATCCGTGGTTGGTATATAGAATGAATAAAAAAAATTCTTAAAGAAAAAAAAAAAGAGCATGGGCTTTTGAAACCTCAAGGCCCACCCCCAGTGACACACCTCCTCCAACAAAGCCACACCTCCTAATCCTTCCCAAACACTTCTACCAACTGGGGACCAAGTATTTAAATACATGAGCCTATGGGGGCCTTTCCCATTCAAACCACCACAATACTCTCATATCTAGACAGGCAATCCCAATGGAAAAATCAATAAAGAAATGCCAGTTATAAACTATACCATAGGTCAAACAATACCTAGCAGATATTGATTATAATTAATGTTCCATTGTAGCTGGAAGGTTTCTCCAGTCCCACCCAGTCCCATGGTCTGCAGTCACTTCTAAAATAATCACTCAGAAGCTTATATTAAATATAACTGCTCGGCCATTAGCTCAGGCTTATTACTAGCTAGCTTTTACATTTAAATTAACCCACATGGCTTGGTACATTTTCTCAGTTCTGCCTTGTCATCTTGCTTCCTCTGTGTCTGGCTGGCGACTCCTCACTCTGCCCTTCCTCTTCCCAGCATTCTCCTAGTCTGCTCACCATGCCTATACTTCCTGCCTGGCTACTGGCCAATCAGTGTTTTATTAAGCCAGTGTATAAGAGCATTATCCCACAGCATTCAGTCATGTGAAAACTGAATACAAATTCTTCTCAGAAGTTCAGGGAACTATCTCTAAAATGGAATGCATTTTAGGTCACAAAACTAAAATTATTTCATAAAATTTCAAAATATAAAGAAAGAAGTGGCCATCCAAATTTAAGAAGCATTTAGTACCTGTACTGGCTGGTTTTGTTTGTCAACTTGACACAAGCTAGAGTCATCAGAGAGGAAGGAGCCTCAGTTGAGGAAATGCCTCCATGAGATCCCACTGTAAGGCATTTTCTCAGTTAGTGATCAACGGGGGAGGGCCTAGTCCATTGTGGGTGGGGCTATCCCTGGGCTGTTGGTCCTGGGTTCTATAAGAAAGCAGGCTGAGCAAGTCAAGGGAAGCAAGCCAGTAAGCAGCACCCCTCCATGGCCTCTGCATTAGCTCCTGCCTCCAGGTTCCTGTCCTGTTTGAGGTCCTGTCCTGACTTCCTTTGGTGATGAACAGTAATGTGGAAGTATAAGCTGAATAAACCCTTTGCTTCTCAACTAGCTTTTTGGTCATGGTGGTTTTTTTTTTGTTGTTTGTTTGTTTGTTTGTTTGTTTGTTTTTTTTAGCAATAGAAACCCTAACTAAGACAAATTGGGAGTGGGGTATTGTGGTGACAGGCCTGGCCATGTTTTTGGGAGGGTTGTGGAAGGACTCTGGAACTTTGGGCTAGAAGAGCCATTGAGTGTTGAGAACTCAGTGGGATGTTCTGTGGGAGCTTGGAAGACAAGAATATTGAGAGCAGTGTAGAGGATGGAGG